GATCTCTTTTCCTAGACAATGGGAATCGTTAATACCAATTTGCGTTATGACTCTACAGTAACTGAGCTTAAGCAGCAATCGTGCTTAATCATCATCCCCGCATAAATGCGACAGGAATGGCCTCCAAAAACGGAGGTTTCTGATGCCGTTTTCTGCGGTCTTTCCGACACGTTTACTAATCCAGTTTATAGCCTCAGACGCTAGGATTAGTGAGCATAGAAAGATATCTCCGCTACATCTCTCGTTCAGCAACCATATGAACAAGTATCGCCTGCGAAAACCTAATCTCATGAAAGAAAATCGGACCTTACACTCTGCATCATAAGCTTTCAACTGCTCCATCTTCAGATCCGCTAACTTCTCTATCTCTTCTCTCATCTTGTTATTAAGCACATAATCCCCATCCTTGTGAAGTGCAGCCTAATAGACCGTATCGATGTCGAAACTCTTCCTGATTCCATAGTCGAACCAGAACCTTCCGGTCCCCCAGGAGTCACGCATCCGGACAGAAAGGAGTAGGTTGCTCTGGCTTCCTTCCGAGTTCGTCCTCGCTTCCACCCGTTCTAAGACCTCATGTTCCATTCTTGGTATGAAGCGGATCATAAAATCTTCTATGGAGTGGTTTTCAAGCCACATATCTAGACCTTAGTTTCCCTGCCGGGCGGGTTTAACGTTTGGCTTGCCAGTCCCAAAGCGCGCTTCCTGAACGGCAAGTTTGTGTGGACGATACTAGGATGTGGATGAGCTTAGGCACAGGTTAAGGAGCCCGAGGCCGGTAGTAGGCTTTCTATTGGCCTTGTTGGCTGGCCGTTTGATAGCTCTGGTTTTTAGTTTAAGGCTTCGTGGTAGACTTGGGAGGTAGACTTGGGAGGATGAGGAAGATGGGATGTATTTCTTATATATTTTTGATGGAGAGGTTCTTGTATAACGGTTCAAAAAACAACTGCCTCTCATCAAAATACCCCTCTTCCCATCTCAAGCTGTGCTTTCTTATATACTACAGAACCTACTATACAATTGAATGACTTCAATATCCCAGCCGGTAGGGTTTGGTCGTGCAGAGATTGGCGGACGTGGATATTGTAGATAGCTTATTTGCATCGGTATAACACTATTAAAGAAAAATCAATTGTTTCGAGATGTAGCGTCTATTTGTGTAAACAAGATTAATCATATAAAGCCAGGTTATGAATACGCGAATAAGAGGATTTCATTCCCCTTCTCACGCCGAGTCCATTGCAGCCAATATCGCTGGAACTTCCTCCTCCTTCCAAGTAGTCTAAACATCCTTCTCCTTGGGTTCCCAACCCAATTCCCGTAACCTGATCGTACGAGTTCTCGCATTACAACCAAGAACAGGAGTCATAGGACCCAAAATATCCGCATAGTCGGCTTCAGTAAATGTCTGGACCTTAGGACCCTTGATCTTGCTAGCCTCGAACAGAACTTGGCTAAGCTTTTCTGCAACCTCACGCATTAAGACCTCGGACCCGTTTTCGGCGAAAAAGTATGGATTCTCCAGGATTGTTGCTGGTGCGGACTTCTCAATATATGCCAACATCGTCATATAGGCGCGCCCAAGGTCTTTGACGTGAATGACACTCCATACATTCCGACCTTCACCCACATGGCCTGCAAACCCATGCTTCAACGTGAAGCGCACCAGAATCGGCAGCACGAAAGAATTGCGCTTATGGACCCGGTCCACCCCATAGACAAGTGCAGGAAGAATGATGGCGATCTTTGCCCTCTCTCCAAACTCATGCGCTGCTTGGACGATTGGGATGTCCACGTGGCGGTGGATGGAAGAGGGCGGCAAGGCGTCGATATCTCCTGGAACATCGTCGCCGTAGGCTTTACCGTCCTTATGCATCCCTATTATACCATCATCGAGCACGCCCGATCCGCTCGTATAGATATAAATACTCGGCAGGCCCGCATGAACACGCTGGCGCACGCCTGACAGTATGGCTTCTACACTTGGCAGGTCGTCGGATGATGCTGTGTTTATGGTCATTTTATGCAGAGCGGCTTGCTTCGTAAGCAGCTCGAGATCGCTCAAGGTACCGAGGACGGTTTTTGCCCCGGCCTTCTCGAATATTGATGCTTGCTCTTGTCGCCGTACAAAGACTGTGACTGGATATTTCGCTGCGAGAAGCTAATCGAAGACGTTCTGTCCGACATATCCAGCGCCGACGAGAAAGATGCTTTGAGGTGCCATTGTAAAGGATTGTAGTTGATTATTTTGCTGAGTTGGTAGAATGTTGACAAGATGAAGTTCCAAAGCACTTATAAGTACTGTTAAATAATACTTTTAAATATGAGCCACTGCCTGAGATGATTAATGGATGACAAAGAAATCTAAGGTCTCTCCACAATACAAGCAAGGGCGGTCCGAACTATAGCTCGCGTATTAAGCCGCAAGAGGAATAACGCTAAACATTAATATTAACTGTTTATTCGGCCAAGCGAGAAGATTATAAATATACTCTTCGCTTATTAAATTGCCCGGGCTAATAAATAGCTGCGGGTGAAATCTAGGGCGCAGCTTTTGATTAACAGAATGTGAATAGTAGTTAGTAATAGGTTAACTTACGATAGGGCTAAAGATTAGTAATCGGCCTTACGGGCTGTTTATTACTTAGCAACGCCAAGTATTAGAACGTCTGCCCCTTATAGAACGACGGCTATGACGTGGTATGGCCTAACAAGGATTAATATAAGTAAGTTATATACTACTAGAAGTAAGAGTACAGAGGACTATAAGTACGACTCAGCCATGTATAGCATTCAGAAGACATCATACTCGATAACCCTTATACCTAACTTCTCCGCCCTTCAAGGCACGAGCAAATACGAAACACTCCCAATTAATTTATTATTAGTCCACCCAATATCAAACAATGGCCGCCAAATCCCCTATTGTCCTTATCTTCGGTGCGGGCGCCAATGTTGGCATGTCCGTCGCGCGCACCTTTGCGTCCAAGGGCTACAAAGTCGCGCTTGCCGCTCGCTCGCTGAAGGAGGCTGATAGCACCGACGAACAGCTGAACATCCCGAGCGACCTCTCCAACACCGATAGTGTACTCAATGCCTTTGACAAGGTGAAGCAGGTATTCGGCATCCCCAGTGTCGTTGTCTACAACGGTCAGCCCCCGTCCCCTGCCGTGCAGTTACCGATTGACTAACGCGTAGCAGCCAGCGCCGCGAGCTTTACCCCCGCCGACGACCCGCTCAGCCTCTCCTTGGCTGACTTGAATCACGTTACGAATATCAATATCTTCAGTGCCTTTGTCGCCGCGCAACAAGCAGTCTTAGGCTTTGCACAGCTTCCAGCGTCAGCTGCGCGCACTTTCATCTACACCGGCAATATCACCAACGTCGCCACCATCCCGAAATTGATGTCCCAGGGTATCGGTAAGTCGGGCGCCGCTCACATGATCTGGGCGGCCGCAGAGGCCTACAAAGATCGCGGATATAAGTAAGCCCTCTATCTACTTCAGGAATTCGCGCGTGACAGACTAGCGACGTGAAGATTCTACTATACCGACGAACGCAAGGCGGACGGAGCGGCCAGATACCAAATCAGTGGTGATACACATGCGGAACTCTACTGGGACCTAGCCCACGACAAGACGCAGGGCCCGTGGATGCAGACTTTCGTCCAGGGTGTAGGATACAAGAAGTTCGACTCCGCATATACGCCTCTCCCGTGAGGCATTACTGACGTTTAATTGTCGGTTTGGCAGGTTCAGACAGGCCAATGTCCCGGATAGAGCCGCTTTCTCAAGGTACTAGATCACTAATAGCTTATGGGTGGATTAAATAGCTGTATAAAATACTGAAGCTTGTTTTGTGTAGAGTCTCTTATCGACTACTATTAATTATTTAAGATTAAGAGAACTTATGTGACGGGGACTACTCACGATCTAGTCAGTGAGCGATCAATACCTATTGGGCGTACAAGTAATAAGATGTTATTATAACTCAATAATGTTTGATTTACGGAAACATTAACTTATGTAAGGCTGGTGATATTTTCCCACCAGGTTTTGTTATTTTCCCACCAAATGCTATTTTCCCACCACGCTAGCAATGGTGGAAATTAAATTCTTAAT